ACCCACTGTGAGTGTGGAAAACATTATCCCACAGGCTGGGATCCTGGGCTGAAGAGAAACAAGAAAGCTCCCTGATAAGCAACATCCATCTCACGTGTCTCCTGACCGCAAAAGCAATGTGACCAACTGCCTCACACTCCTGCCACCATGAGGGACTGTCCCCTCAATCTATAAGCCAAGATCAACTCTTCCTGCCTTAGGTTGCTTTCCTCAGTTACATGTCACAGCAAGGAGAGAAGAAATCTGGAAGAATGTGTTTAGTTTTGTAGGAAACTGCAGAGCTTCTTCCAAACTGTAACATTCTGCATTTCTACCAGTAACAGGCTGCTTCTGCTCCACATCTCACCAATGCATGGTGTTACGACGAGTGTTCCAGATGTTGGTCACTTAAATAGGCACACTGTGGTATCTTGTTGCTTTAATTGATGTTTGCTAAATCTATGGTATGAAGCCTATTGACTTTACGGATCTCTGCTTCAGTGAGGTGTCTCTTGTGACCCTGTATCAGTGTTAAATTCGACTGTTTTCTTCTTGTTGAGTTTTAAGAGTTCATTGTAAGTTTTTTGTACAATGGGTCTTTATCAAATACATCTTTTGGGTGTATGTCTCCCAGTTTGTGGCTGTCCGCTCATTCTCTGCTGTGAATTAAATACTACAGAAATTAAGCCGGGCGGCGGTGGCACAGGCCTTTAATCCCAGCACTTGGGAGGCAGAGCCAGGTGGATCTCTGTGACTTTGAGGCCAGCCTGGTCTACAGAGTAAGATCCAGGACAGTGAGATCCAAAGCTACACAGAGAAACCCTGTCTCAGAAAACAAAAACAAAAACAAAAGATAGTGCAGAAATTTATAATTTTGGTTAAGTCTAGTTTATCAGTGATTTTTTCCGCCATGAATTATTCCTTTGATATTGTACTAGCTCAGCGGGTAAAGACACATCCCGAGCAAGTCTGATAGCCTGAATTTCATCCCCAGATCTCACCAGCGCCTGGAGGTTGTTCTCCAGCTTCCATATGCACACCATAACACTCTTGCACCCACACCATGCACACATATCACACACACACACACACACACACACACACACACACAATTTTTAAAAAGTCATTACCATGTCCGAGCCCATCTAGGTTTTCTCTTGTGCTCTCTTCCTTAAGCCACTTTTGTGAGGTATTTTGTCACAGACATGAGTAAAGTAACTGCGATGCCCTGTTTCCAACACCAACAAGGGACATACTGTTGTCACCCCGTCCTTATCACTTCAGGTCTGGAGGGAAGTGTGGTCAGAAACAGAAACAAGCTTAATGGAGAAGAGGCTGAGGCCAGCTGGGCTGACGGTGTATCTATCTGAGTTAACCAACAACCAAATGTCCCTTATCAGCCTTTTTGCTGATAAAGCCAAGCTATGTCATGGTCACTGACTATCCCAGGCAAGATCTGAAGCAACCTACCCAGGTCTCTCCACCTGTCCCAATTATGCCCATCTGGAACAGGGCTAGATAAGTGACGGCGAGCTACATAACAACGATTACCCTCTCCCCTGCTTCTGCCATAGTACATTTTAACTACAGAAACTATACAATCCTGCTTTAGAAAATTTGGGAAACACGGTAAAAAAGAAAAATAAATTTAAAGTCCCCATGATCGCTTTACTGTAGTATAAACAGCCACGTGTGATGTGCGCCTTTCTATTGTTTTCTGTACGCATGCTGTTTTTGCTGTTTTGAAATGCTGCAGGTAGAACCCAGAGCCTTGCACTTTGCTACACTGAACAAACATGAAACAGCTCTGTGTGTGCCATTTAGTGTCATTCTTTTCACTATGCCTAGGGCTCGGCATGCAGACCAGAGGCAGAACATTCTAGCTCGCAAGGCTCTGGGTTCAATATTCCCAGCACCGCACACACAAAACGGAAGAACTTAAATTAGTGTTGAGCAAGCAAGTCTACATTTTACTCACTTTCTTCTACAGCATTCTAGCATGGACATTTTATTTAGTTATTTTCAATATAAACCTAGGTATATATTAATGTTATAACATTTATTTATTGAGGGGGTGGGGTACTGGGGAAGGGAAATGTGTTCATGCCACAGCACAAATGTTAAGATCAGAGGACAACTTAGTAGTTGGTTCTCTCCTTCCACCATGTGGGTTCTGGGGATCAAACTCAGGTTGCCAGGCTTGGCAGCAACTGCCTTTACCCACTGAGCCTCTTGCCAGCCCTAAACATAGATCTTAGAGTGGGTAGACTACTCCATCTATTCAACCACTGATGTAGTATTACTTCATGTGCGATACATATGCTGCGTCTACTTTTAAAACCATTAGGCAATGCCACAGGGCACACTGTGACGGTTAATATTGATTTTCAACTTAGCAAGATCCAACATCACCAAGGAGGCTGATCTCTGGGCATATCTGTGGCAGAGTTTATAGGCTGGGTTAATGGAGGTGGGCAGATCCATCCTGAAGGTTGGTGGCACCATTCCACGGACTGTGGTTCTGAGCTGCATGAGAAGAGAGTGACCTGAGTCCCATAGTCACCTCTCTCTCTGCTTCCTGGCTGTGCATGCAAGATGACCAGCTGTCTCAAGTTCCTGCCACCATGATGGATTGTACCCTCAAATGGTAGGCCAAAATAAATTCCTCCTCCTTAAGATGCTGTTGTCAAGCCTATTTTCTTGAAGCAACTAATACACATACTTAAGTGTATTTAGCATTTCCTGCATTTAACATTGCATTATTAGAATATTCAAAACTAGCCCAAAAAGTGTAAATGAATTTATAGTTTTTGATACAAAATGTAAAATTATTTTCCAATGAATCCAGCTAGCCAATTTACAACCTCCACAAGGTATGAATCCTCATTTCCCCCTGCCCTCTCCAGCATTAGGAGGTAAATTAAAAATAAAGCAGGAAATGAAAATGTTCATGTATCAGGGGTTTGGTGAGTTGCCTGTTTCATAGTCTACCAATTGAGCTAAACCCTAGCCCACATTTAGTAAATGATTCGACAGCTCATATAGAGGAGACAACTCGTCTTTTCAGTATAAATAGCTGTAGTAACCATAGGTGAAATAGTCTATGATCTGCCTCTTCATATACAGAACAAACAGCCGGATACTCTGTGAAATGTTGGTAAACTATCCACCAGATGCTCTGTGGAAATGTTGGTGAACTGTCCACTAGACACACTGTGGAAATGTTGGTGACCCGTCTAACCAGACACACTGTGAAAATGTGGCTGAACTACCCAGTCAGAAACTGAAAATGCGGCTGAACTACCCAGGGCTCCAGGAAGATACTAAAGTGGATTAACATGAGTGTCCTTAGGCTTCCCAAGTGCAGTAGCTTCAAGAGCCTGGTGCTGTGCCAAGGGACAAACCAAACAAAAGAAAAAAGAGCTGGAAGATTCTACTTACTAGCAGAGAACTAGAACAATCCAGCTGAGGGATGAGCGACGAAAAATCCACACTGGAACTGATCTAGTGTTAAGTACCTTGATGTGCATCCAAAACGTACAGATATTTACAGAGGAGACAAGTTCATATAAATAAAAGCCTGCTTGTCCTTAGGGTAATTATTCTGCTAGGGGAAGAAGGTAAGTTTCTCCCACACCAGCACATGTATTTAAAATGTCCATTCAAACCAGTGTGTAAAGGCTGGAGAGAGGGCTCAGTGGTTGAGAGCCAATGTCCTTAACTGGTTAATATGGTTTAATAACTCATACAAAAGAGACAACTGGGTCTCTTCAGTTGTCACCTGGATGTGCCCTGAATTTGGTTCTTAACACCCACATAGTGAGATTCATAATGGCCTGTAACTCCAGGAGACCCAATACCCTCTTCTGACCTCCTTGAGCACCTGCCCACACATAACATTCACTCACACAGACACACACACACACACTTTCACATGAATAAAAATGATAAAAATAAATCTTTTTAAAAAAGAACAAAAACAATGCCCTGGAGCCCATCAACATCCCAACACATTGGGGAGGGGCTCACAAGGCCCCACCCCTGGCCTCTGTCCGTTAATAGCTGCTAGGGAGAAGGGGGGGTATTTTTCTTCAGTGATCTCATCACTGATAAATTGGCCACGCCTCAGTAAATAACCCCACACTTGTGTTCATGTAAGTAGCCCTAAGTAAATTCAGTGGGTCATAAAGAGAAAGTGCATGGAAGTAGGGGAGATGGGGACTTGCTCAGAAGAGGAGATCCAGAGGGAGTGGGGGATGGGGCGTGATGATCTCAAGCACCTGGAAAGCTGAGACAGGCGTTCCCAGCCAGCCTAGACCACATAGCTAGACTCTGTCTCCAACAGAAATCTTATTGATGACTGATTGAGAGAGGGCACGATGTGCATGGTGAACTTTGTTATTGGGAGGCTGTTGGTTTATTTGTATGTATAGTGATGGGTTGCATTCATGAGGATGGTGTTTACAGATGTACTTTATCTGCCAGGCAGAAAATGTAAAATATTACCATGTTTGTGTAATGATAAGCGAAACTGGGAGATCTGACACTTTCTTTTTCCTATTTTTTCATTTATCTGGGAATGAGCTATTATTATTCCTTAAACAATGTAAAGTATGACTTGGGTTTCAATCCCCAGCACTACAAAAGAATGTTCTATGTGACCAAATATCTCAGTGATAGATGAAAACCACAATTCTTAGGTATTTCCAAGCACCTGAAATTTGACCTTGATTTTATGGTCCTACCCTCTTTGCATCCTGAGTGCTGGGACAATAGGCAGACACAACCATGCCTGGCTTACAATATTTTTTAATTAATAATTTTTGTGTGTGTGCATTGGTGTGAGGTTATCATATCCTCTGAAACTAGAGTTACAGTTGTGAGCTGCCATATGGGTACTGGGAATTGAACCTGGGTCCTCGGGAAGAGCAGTCAGTGCTCTTAACTGCTGAGCCATCTCTCCAGCCCCGGTTTACAATATTTTAAAATGTGAAAGCAGAAAAAAGGAAAGGACCCTTCACACACACACACACACACACACACACACACACACACACACACAAACCCCTAACAGGAAATGCCCCCACCTCTTGTGCTGTGGGCATGGAGACAGTTGCATCATTACCTGTACTGTGCGTTGGTGCCTAGTTGGGTCTGCAGGGCACCTCCCAGTGTGAAGCCAGACTTGCTCCTGGGGGAAGCTACCATTGGCTTCTGAGCAGTGTGGGGCAGAACATCCACATGCCTCCAAGACCCCACCAGTAACATTAATGAAGTGAGACAAGTGAGGACGAAAGGAAAGTCACCTCCCCTTTGCTGTAAGGGGGATCTATATGAACGACAGGGCGATAGCAAAATAGCCTTGGTATCATTGACACAAAAAGAGAGGCTGGCCCGAGCCCCAGTCCTTTCAACAAGGGAAGCATGCAGTACGTCTAGCCTCCCCTGAGGAGGAAAACCCGGATTCCCATAGGGAATTCTCCAGTCTTTTACCAGGGAGAGGGCTAGCAAATGCTTCTGGGACTACGGAGTTGCCTCGAGGAGGGCTTGCTATTTCCTGGTTTGGTTGGCTGCTTCTGGAGCCCTGGGTGAGCATCCAGGCTGCCAGGTATGAGGAAGGAGACAGATGGCTCTGCGTGGGTGCCGCCTCGTGCGGGGAGCCCAGGGGCACCGGTCGGTGGAGAGTAAGTGGGAACCTTGAGCTTTAGAGTCCTTGAATTAAAGAAAATCGCTGTGTGTGGTCCGGTGAACCAGATCTCACCAGGCTGGTTGGGGATGGGGTAGGAGGCTAGAAGTGCCCTTATGAAACGCAGGATTCTGCTAGGTCGCCTCTGGGAGCCTAAGGGCAGCTGATCTCAGGCTCTCACCAGCCTGGGCAAGGACGGCCAGGAGGACCCTACAACTGATTGCCTCGCCAGGTGAGAGCACGGACTCCTGAAGCCACAGCTCTCAGGAGAAGAGAGAGGCTCCCGGGCGGGCACTGGACCTCTTCGCTTCTCCTAGGAAGCTGTTGCCATGGCCACAGGGGACTTTTGATGTGAAGCGCGATGGGCCCCCTCCTCTTCCTCCCCCCCCTTGCCACCCCGCTCGCCTTCAAGATGACGTCACAGACGTCCGCCTCCCTGACAGGCCACCTGTAGGCTGGTCTCGGCTTTAAAGCAGCTGTGCCCCTGTTTCCCCGAAGTCCAGCGGGCGGCCACCACATCCATCGACTCTTGGGAGCATGCTGAGACTCCAGACCTACCTTCCTCCCCTCAGGGAGAACACTGCAGCGGACAGGACGGACGACTGAAGACAGGCAAGTACCCACCGCAGAGCATCCTCCGCGCGGTCCCCGGTCCCCGAGCCCACGATTTGATTCTGGGGTGAAGGGAGTTTCTTCCAGAAGGAAGCAGAGGGCAGAGGCTTTCCCCTACGGCTATCTCAACCCCAGCCAGTGCTCCCAGCCAGTGCCTTCCCCTAGTCAAGGGCTCGGATTTGAGAAGCAGCCAACCCCAAGTCCTAACCAGATTCGCGAGGTCGAGCTCCCCGGGGCTGCCCTGGAGGGGAGGGAAGGGGGCGCCTCAGCCCGGAGGTGAGGTGTCTCCCTTCCTCCAAACCCGAGGGCTGGGAAAGCGGCTCCGGAGCTCGCACTGAGCTCTCCTGCCACCTGGAGTAAAAGGGTTGTGAGAGGGCGATGCCGTCGGGTCTTCCTCACCTTGTGCCCAGACTCCAGGACGAGCCAACCTGTTGCCTGCAGGAAAGCGTCCCATAAGATCGGAGCGCCAGGAGTCCACGCAGAAGTCAGCCGTGATTCTTCTGGGGAACATCCCGAGAGTCCAGCGCCCACAGAAGGAAAACGTATATAATGCCGGGAAAAGCGGCGGGTAACCATCCCAATGCAACCAACACGCTTCCTACCCTTTGCGACATCAGCTGGTGGCCCCACTAGCCCGGGGAAGGGAAGGGAGAGGCTCAGGGACTGTGGGGACCGGGGAAGCACTTGCTGAAAAGGTGAAAACAGGGCAGATAAACCCCAATCTCGACTTTCCAACTCGCCAGGTCCCTGTCTGGAGGTCAGGATCCCGCTACTTAAGGTCCCTGTAGCCCCTCCTGAGAAATCCAGCTTCAGCGCATTCATTCAGCATCAGAAGCTGGACAGCACTCCGCAGAGTCCCAGGGGTCGGTTCCCACATGCTGCTCAACCTGCCAGACCCGTGCCCACACTCCCGCAGAGACCATTCAGACGAGGCCAGGAGGTGAGACGCAGTTTGTAGAGGAAGTGGGGCGGGGGGGCGGGGGGGGGCGGTCGGCGTTCTCATCTCTCCAGGGGTTCTATGTCGCCAGAGGAGAAACAGAGCTAAGCTCTGGAGACGCACCCACTGGGTCTGGTAGGGTCCCCGGGCACTAGTGTTCTGTGAAAAATCACCACATTTGAGTCTTTCTCCTCTCTAAACCTTACTGGGAGTAAATGAAGGGAAAAAACAAACCATGGAGTTGGAGAGAAAAGATACCGAGGCTATGGTAGAAAGTAGTACATAGTGTCTGGGTGCCAACCTTTGGGTATAGAGATGTCTGCCCAAAATGAACATCCAGGTACACATTTTTTTTTTTTATCTGAAGAAGTCCTAAGAGCCTTTGTAGAGGAGCACAGATGATTGTTTTGCCAGGGAGGAAAAAGCCAGGGAGGGGGAGAAGCTGTCACAAAAGGGCTAATGGAGGTGGGGGAGGAGGAGAGCAGAGCGGACAGGACGCCAGCTCTAGTGTGGTTACCAAGCAACCACCCGCAGCCCCTGCTTCCTGTTGCCTTGGTAACAGTGAATGGAGGGGCTTTGGCTACTGTTTATCTGTGAGCACCTTGATTCTCTAAATGAAATATCTCCTGGTAGCCCCTGCCTCGCGGGCTGCGTGGGAGTCACCACCATTCCCATGTACTGCTCTAATGACCCGCGAGGACGCCCTAGAAGGTGATTTTCCCCCTTTAAGTCAAGGAGTTAAGACCCCCGAAATCCTTCCCACCTGTACCCCAGCCCACTTCAGAGATGTAATCATAACCTGCCCAGCCATTTTCTAGGGACTTGCGGTTTCGGGTCCTCTCATTTATCCCTTTATACTAGAGGAGCTGATTGCTCATAACCTGCTCCCCTACACACACACACACACACACACACACACACACACACACACACACACAGTGTACACACCTTTTCCCCTTTAAATGACAACAAGAGGGATACAAGGATATCGTTTAAGTGTGTCTGCTGTAGGTACAATTGGTTTGGCAGCCCCCTCCCATTCTTTACCTGAGAGATGGGTCTGGATTCTGGCTTGCCTCACCCCTGAACTTCGCAGAGAGTGGAGCTTAGGTAGCCATGCGTCTCCCTTAACAATTAGTCTCTAGCACTGCAGCACTGGATTCAAAAGTCTTACCTAGTTTCTCTTTGGCATTGGCTTCCTTGCAGATTCTGTTCTCGGGCCTTTTCCCCTGTCCCTGGATTGGCAAAACCTGACTCTAGTTTGCACCTGCCGACATCCCTTGCCTGCATTCATTTGTAACATGTGGGTGGGGAATCACCGTACCCACACATTTTCAAAGGTGACTGTAGCCTTCTTGGGGCGGGGGGGGGGGTGAAGGGGAAAGGGAAATGCCTAGGAAGTTACCAGCGCAACCTGTTTCATGCATTGATTGATCTAGAATAGTTCTCACTAAGAGCCAAGAACTTGCTGCTCCCAAACACAGCCACATTTCACACACGGCTGTCACCTGCTCACACAGACAGAGGAAAGCTTCCCATCTCAGGCAGTAACTACCAGGATGCCTCACATCAACAAATGCAATCACATTGCCATTCCTTCATCCACCACCACCCCCATAGTCCTAATACAATCTTATGAAGACCCATTCTAAGTTGTCTATATTTTAGTACTTATTTCTCAAAAAGCCCATTTAGATATAGTATGGAGGGCATTTATATCAAAATGCCTTTCTCTTCCAGGTTACTACAGAAACTTCCTTTTACACCAAACCAGGCAGCTGGTCTGCTTTTTGTAGTTTTCTGCTCAGAGGACTGCCTTTCCTTTCCCAGTTCTCTGGGCCAGCTATCACTGATCGCATCAGTAATGCCCCATAGCAACAACAGTCTTTTTACTTAAAAATTTATTCCTTTTTTTCCCCCTCATTTCCTTATGGACAAAGGATTTACTTTCCTTTCAAGAAGATAACTTAGACCTTATTGGCTAGAAAGGAAGAGCCAGTCTCTCATTGGTTGGTATGTATCACCTTGTCAACCAATAAGAGGATGCCATTTATCCTTTACTGACTAGCTGAGAGAGCAGGGTACCCAGAATGATTGACTCTGCCTTAGTTTTATCCAGTAGCAAAGGACAGGTTCAGAACCCAGGATCAGGGTTTTGCTTTACCTGATTCAGAATGCACTTGATTTACCTGAATTAAATTTTCTGCTTAGCCATTTGTGGCTCACTTGAACATACTCACAGAATACATTGTTCTGGGTTTTTCCATTTTATGATGTTTCATAAATATATTTCCAAGCCAGTATAGGTTATTTCTAGTATCAGTACACCAGGGGTGCAAGGCTATGAAATCCCTGGGATTACAGATTTGGTCCTTACGTGTGAGGGATTTATGAACATTTGGAGGACACAGGATGGAGAAGAGGCAGGAAATGCTGCCTCACCTGTGGTGGGCAGGCAGCTCTGTGTTTTGGACTCACTCTGCTCAGCCTTGGTGCTCTGGGATGGTTTTGCTTTTGTACTTTGGCAGCTTGACGGCTGCCTCTTTGGGGTGGGAACCAGGAGGGATGGAGACAACAACTCTAACACAGTCAAGGAGCAGACTGACCACTGCCCAGGAAGCCTCCTGGCAGGTAGGTGGTGAGGGTCCCTGGAACTGTACTTGGGTAGGCCAGCTTTTCTGTTACTGTTTGTTTTCTTCTTCTCTGCTCCAAGCCCTGAAATGCTGGTGTGGATTTCCACGTCTCAGGAAAAGAGGTGGGTCAAGGGAGTCCACTGAAGATCCTCTTCCTCTTGGACAAGCACGCCAATGACAGCCTGGAGGATGCCTGAATGTGAGTCCAGACTCCGTTTGTCTCTCCTTGGTTCTTAGGAGTAGACGGACGCCTGACCAGGATTTTGCCATCAAGGGACACCTCTTTCGCCCCCTCCCCATGCTGTGCTGAATTTAGTTGGGACCGTGTGCTCCAGTATGAGGCTGTACTACACTCCCATATTAGGGACTCTGATTCCTCAGAGGTTAGCCACGCTTGCAGCAGAAGCTCAAGACTAAATCTTCCGGGACAGTGTCAAGAAAAGCCCCCTAACTTCTCTGTGAGAATGGTAGTTCAAATCCTGTACCCACCCCCCACCTCGTGCTCTTCCTCCATATCTAAAGCTTCGTAGTTTCCAGCCCGCTTCACAAAAGATACATGAAGGCTCAATTAATTGTTACCATGGTTACATGGAGTGGCCACACTGAGGATTCCTATCACCCATTACTGTCATGAGGTAAAAGAGAGGAGGGGTTTGGGGATCGTTGTCATGGAGGAAACCATGGAAACCAGGGTTGCTAAGGGGACAGCTCTAAATTCAGAGGGAAGAAATGAGAAGTGGGGAGGGACACTTAGTGGGCTCAAGGGCAGGTCACTTTTCCAAGACGTAACCCTCGGAGACTATAGCAAGGGTCTGGGTACCCTGCATCTCCCTCCAACTCAGAGAGAGGCTGGAGTTCAAGAATTTCAGAGACCACGAACCACCATCAGGCCAACACCATCCTCACTGGATCTACCAGGAGAAAGGCAATCGAAATGCACTGGTCCCACTCACACCACGCAGTCCGGCTGCCTCTGGACTCTGCTGCTTTTGCCACTCTTATGCCAGGCTGGTTAGTAAGAGCCCCCCCCCACTCCCTTGGGGAGCTTAGTGTAGGGTGGTGACTCAGTTGGTGGCTTTTGAGTCAAGGGTATCCAAATCCAGGTCTGCAAAGGGGTATCCAGATGGCTTCTGAGATCTGGAAGTTTTCTTTCATGTCCTTTAGCATGTCTCTTATCACCTGAAGGTTGTACGGAGGTCTCTAAGAAAGTTCTGCATCCTCCAGAAATCCTGTAAGTATCAGCTTTTCCTGTTACCCACTCGTGGCTCAGCAGCCCAGTTACACCTGTTCTTTGGTCTGCACTGGGGTCTCTGCAAACCTCAGAATGGTCCTGGGTGAGGACTGGGGACACATTTTTGCAACCTCTGCAAGGAACTCCTTGGAGTTCAGTTGGGCCTGTGTAGAACTGTGCCCCGTCCCATCCCATGGGCTCTGAAGGGGTTGGACCCAGAGGCCTTCTCCAAGCATCCCCATCCCATCTGTCACTGGCTCTTTCCATGTCCAGGCAAGCCCTTTCCCAGTCGAGATGAACAGAACAAATCAAAAGATGGAGGGGGGGTGGGGCAAAAAGGGAGAGCTAGCAATTAAAAGGCAAAAGAATTAAAAAGCGCCAATCGGGAAGGGGAATAATCCTTCAGCTGCAGCAGACATACAATTAGGCCATGGGCTCTCGGAGTTGCCAGGATATTGTGGCTTTTCCTAATTAAGGAGCGGATGTGCCCTGCCCATGCAATTAGAGGCTAGCTCGGGCAGGAGGGGCCTTGCCTACCTCCTATCAATGCACTGCAAGGGAAATTAACCAACCATCCAGCCCACATCCCCTGCCCACTAAGTCCCACTTGAGTCTGGGTTGTGGCGCATGAGCTTTGGGAGGATGTTCACTCTGGGGACCCTTGGGGAAGGGGAGAAGAGGCCTGGGGTAGGCACTACTTGAAGCTCTTTCTCTTATCCTTGCTCTGTGAGAGCACAGGGTTTTGTGATACCTGAGGAGAAGAGAGAGACAGGCGCCGCCCACCTGCTTCCCCGTGAGAAATAAGATTTCCCTATGATTAAAAGAAGTGTCTTCACTGTGGAAAAATAGGGCACTCCAGGGGGAGGAAAAAATAGTAGGGAAATTATTTCTCCACCATTTGGAGCCAGAGACTCTAGGGAGTCCTGGGGTGTGCGTGGGATGTGTGTGTCGGGGATGTGTGGGGGAGTGGGGTGGGGGGTGGAGAACATAGGGAAAGTAGTGGGAGTGAGGATAAAAGCTG